TTAATATGTTCTGTCTTCTCCTTCTTCCTTGACAATTACACGTCCTTCAATAATACTCTCTGCTACATTTGATTCCCTGCAACACGTTCTGCATTGTGCAAGAATAAGTCTGATCACAGAAGACCTGTACATTAAAAAAAATGCCATGCAATGATGCATGCACTTCCATGTATATGACGTTCTTCACAAAAATAACATTAGGGTTTGATCATATTAACTTCACCTAAACACGGCATCCATCAGTATTTCTCCGAGTCAAATAATGAGCATACATGCCTGTAACGAAAATATCTAGAACTCTACTGGATTCATCTAAAATGTGAAGCAATAACATTCTCTAGCACTTGAATAGGAACACTGATGTAGAAGTTCAGTAATCATCATACAAACATCCCAAATACAATCTGAATAGTGAACAATGGCAAACAGATGGTAGGTACACAGACATCGTGTCATTCATATCAACAAATGAAAAGTACTGGCATGTTGACTTGAACTATAGGGAAGATAACATCATTACTCATGAGTTAATATTATCTTTTTAACTAAACCATGTTAACCAGATTAACATTTGGCCATTTATTTCCGAATTCCTTAAAAAAGAAAATCAAGAAAATTCACAGCTTCTTCTGTTATGTCTGTGTTGTGAATGAACAATCAATCTGCATTTAATCATCATGAAGCAACTGTTCCTCCAATCTGTTTTCTACACAACATCTATTCTGCCCTCTCCTACAACTGTGCTTCCACGCCTTGCACTTGTTTCCTAACTTATCTGGATGGACTTCCCCAAACAAGCATCCTTTGCCTGGGGCAACACAAAACCATTCAGGCTGCCAAATAAGCTGGTATCCGGGGTTTAATCTAGGCTGCACTGGGTAGTGCCTACAGTTATGGCTGCTGCTGCTGCTGCATTGGAACGGAACATCGGGAGGGGGAGGGCAGCATCTGGGCCGTTGTGTGTCTGTCACCAGGATGCTCTGTGTATGCAGCTGCCAGGGTCCCAGTGGATGGCATACTCCACAGTACTGTGCAAAATATCATCATACGCAACGCCAAATTACCAGATCAGTTGTCCTCTTTAACACATATTATCTGTTCAATTTTATCCACTGCTTGGTTAATTTTAAATCTAACATCTGCAACATGCTTTGTAATGATTGGCAACTCATTTGCTGCAACTGATTACAATAAAGTATTATTTTCTGGATTATACACTTAATGCTGTATTTGTTTGTTATTATTGTGGCATGAATGAACAAATTATCTTTCTCTATGGTTTATACTTCAATTGAAAGCCAGTTACAGTTTAAGAGAATGCAGATGCTAGTACGTTACTACTGAGGCCAGTGGGTGGACTGACCTGGGTACTGACTGCCTGGGCTAGAATATTAGCCCCCTCCCTGTTACATCCTCACCTCTTACTGAATAAATGTCAAAGTGAAATAGAATCCAGTCAGTTTCCTACTGCGTATCAATATTGGATTAACAGGGATACAGGCAAGAGATGCACACACTGGTACACTTGTGGGACAGAGGGAAATGTCCTTACTTATGTTCTGCCCTTGGGCTGCCTCATAAGTAGCATAGCTTATTGAGACATCTTTAAGTTAGATCTGGCAATGTATCAATATACATGTATGCTTCTCTCTATCGACAGAAGAACATCTTCATAGCACAAATACATCCTCTGCGAAAGGTTGCTAGGTAACACGATTTTCTTTGCACTTTCTACTTTCACAGTGCCCATCAATGAGCAATTTGTGTTGCCTCCATTCTGAATATCAATTCAGGGAGGCTCTAATTCATAAAATGTTCTTCACTGCCTTGTCTCATGATAGAGTGTTACATAACTCATTGTTGAGTCACATATATCTGTATTCATTAATAACAAACTGATGGATTTCACCAAATATCTTTTGGTCTTGTCCATTTGCTGTATATATTCCGTACATTTGCTTATATACTCAAACTACGTTTATAACAAATTAAAATTATTGGTCCCTTTGAGTTTGTTATAACTGTAGTTTACTGTAACTCATTGTTGAGTCACATATCTCTGAATTGAGTGTTGTATATCTCAGTATTGAATGTCATGCATATAAGTTGTTGTTTTTTGTTTGTTTGTTTGTTGTTTAATGCTGCACTCAGTATATTCCAGCTCTATGACGTCTGTTTGTAAACAATCGAATCTGGATCACACAATCCAGTGATTGATATCATGAGCACCAATCCACGCAATTGGGTTGGTTTGTTGTTTTACACTGCACTTAGCAATATTCCAGCAATATAACGGGAGTCTGTAAATAGTCAAGTCTGGACTAGACAATCCAGTGATTAATATCATGAGCATCGATCAATCGATTTTATGGCAGGCATGGGTTGCTGAAGACCTGTTCTAACACGGATCTTCACGGGCATATCTCAGTATTGAGTGTCATGTATCTCAGCATTGAGTGTCATGTATCTCAGCATTGACAGTCATGTATCTCAGTATTGAGAGTCATGTATCTCAGTATTGGGTGTCCTGTATCTCAGTATTGAGAGTCATGTATCTCAGTATTGAGTCATGTATCTCAGTATTGAGAGTCCTGTATCTCAGTATTGTGTGTTTCATATCTCAGTATTGTGTTTCATGTATCTCAGCATTGAGTGTCATGTATCTCAGCATTGAGAGTCCTGTATCTCAGTATTGAGAGTCATGTATCTCAGTATTGTGTGTTTCATATCTCAGTATTGAGTGTCATGTATCTCAGTATTGAGTGTCATGCATCTCAGTATTGAGTGTCATGCATCTCAGTATTGAGTGTCATGCATCTCAGTATTGAGAGTCATGTATCTCAGTATTGAGAGTCATGTATCTCAGTATTGGGTGTCCTGTATCTCAGTATTGAGTGTCATGTATCTCAGTATTGAGAGTCATGTATCTCAGTATTGAGAGTCATGTATCTCAGTATTGAGAGTCATGTATCTCAGTATTGAGAGTCATGTATCTCAGTATTGAGTGTCATGTATCTCAGCATTGAGTGTCATGTATCTCAGTATTGTGTGTTTCATATCTAAGTATTAAGAGTCATGTATCTCAGTATTGAGTGTCTTGTATCTCAGTATTGTGTGTTTCATATCTAAGTATTAAGAGTCATGTATCTCAGCATTGAGAGTCATGTATCTCCGTATTGAGAGTCATGTATCTCAGTATTGAGAGTCATGTATCTCAGCATTGAGTGTCATGTATCTCAGCATTGAGTGTCATGTATCTCAGCATTGAGTGTCATGTATCTCAGCATTGAGTGTCATGTATCTCAGTATTGAGTGTCATGGATCTCAGCATTGAGTGCCGTGTATCTCAGTATTGTGTGTTTCATATCTAAGTATTAAGAGTCATGTATCTCAGTATTGAGTGCCGTGTATCTCAGTATTGTGTGTTTCATATCTAAGTATTAAGAGTCATGTATCTCAGCATTGAGAGTCATGTATCTCAGCATTGAGAGTCATGTATCTCAGCATTGACAGTCATGTATCTCCGTATTGAGAGTCATGTATCTCAGTATTGAGAGTCATGTATCTCGGTATTGAGTGTTTCATATCTCAGTATTAAGAGTCATGTATCTCAGTATTGAGAGTCATGTATCGCAGTACTGAGTGTCATCTATCTCCGTATTAAGTGTGGCATATCTCAGTATTGAGAGTTAAGTATCTCAGTATTGAGAGTTAAGTATCTCAGTATTGAGTGTCATGAATCTCAGTATTGAGTGTCATGTATCCCAGTATTGAGAGTCATGTATCTCAGTATTGAGTGTCATGTATCTCAGTATTGAGTGTCATGTATCTCAGTATTGAGTGTCATGTATCTCAGTATTGAGTGTCATGTATCTCCGTATTGAGAGTCATGTATCTCAGTATTGGGTGTCCTGTATCTCAGTATTGAGAGTCATATATCTCAGTATCAAGAGTCATGTATCTCAGTATTGAGTGTCGCGTATCTCAATATTGAGTGTCGTGTATCTCAGTATTGTGTGTTGCATATCTCAGTATTGAGTGTTACATATCTCAGTATTGAGTGTTATGTATCTCAGTATTGAGTGTTAAGTATCTCAGCATTGAGTGTCATGTATCTCAGTATTGAGTGTCATGTATCTCAGTATTGAGAGTCATGTATCTCAGTATTGAGTGTCATGTATCACAGTATTGAGAGTCATGTATCTCAGTATTGAGTGTCATGTATCTCAGTATTGAGTGTCATGTATCTCAGTATTGAGTGTCATGTATCTCAGTATTGAGTGTCATGTATCTCAGTATTGAGAGTCCTGTATCTCAGTATTGGGTGTCCTGTATCTCAGTATTGAGTCATGTATCTCAGTATTGAGAATCATGTATCTCAGTATTGTGTTTCATATCTCAGTATTGTGTTTCATATCTCAGTATTGAGTGTCATGTATCTCAGTATTGAGTGTCATGTATCTCAGTATTGAGTGTCATGTATCTCAGTATTGAGTGTCATGTATCTCAGTATTGAGTCATGAATCTCAGTATTGAGTGTCATGTATCTCAGTATTGAGAGTCATGTATCTCAGTATCAAGAGTCATGTATCTCAGTATTGAGTGTCCTGTATCTCAGTATTGAGGTGAGGTGAGGTGAAATTGGGTTTAACGTCGCGTCCAAGATTATTGCACTTATATAGCGACGTGCATGCACGTGTATGTGTGTGTGTGGCTGCTTGTACTAGTCCGGACTGATGCCGATTTATAGTGCTAGCTCACTGAGATACCATGCCGCAGTTTAACATGAATACCCCACTCAGACACAGTATACTGACTCCGAGCCGACCAGTCCTTGTTTTAGCCCCTTAATGCCGAGCGCCAGACAGGGTAACAACAAGTACAATCTTTTAACGTCTTTTTGTATGACGCGGCCCGGGATCGAACCCTGGACCTTCCGCTCTCCGGGCGGACGCTCTACCACAAGACCACGGAGGCGGTCCTCAGTATTGAGTGTCGTGTATCTCAGTATTGTGTGTTGCATATCTCAGTATTGAGTGTTACATATCTCAGTATTGAGTGTTACATATCTCAGTATTGAGTGTTATGTATCTCAGTATTGAGTGTTATGTATCTCAGTATTGTGTTGCATATCTCAGTAGTGAGTGTTACATATCTCAGAATTGAGTGTTACATATCTCAGTATTGTGTGTTACATATCTCAGTATTGAGTGTTGCATGTCTCAGTATTGAGTGCTGTGTATCTCAGTATTTTGTTATGAAACTTGTAAGTAGTCAAGTCAAAGATAACTCTAAGCAAAAAAATTAATATCGAAGGCAAACAAACTGACAGTCAGTAGTGCTTTGTTAGACATTTTGAGCTTCTCAAACATGCTAGGGCAACTTTAATTCCCTTTAGGTTTTGGGTCAGACTTGCTGACCATTGTCTGACTGGGCTGAAAATTTAATTAAACAATGTCCCATGAAGATCTGGGTTAGAATAGGTCTTCAGCAACCTATGCTTGTAAGACGCAATTAACAGGATCTTGTGGTAAGGCTTTCTGATTTGGTTGATGCATATCATCATATCCCAAATGAGTAGATAGATGCTGATGATGTCAATCACTGGATTGTCTTGTCCAGACTTGATCTTCAAAAACGCTGCCATATAGCTGCAATTTTGCTGAGAGTTTTAACAACAAACAATCAAACCCTGAATGTTTTTTTTCCGCAGTGATGTTGAAGACTTTACTGTATTGATTACTTGAGCTGTGTCAGCCAGCGGAATCAGGGATATTAAAAAGTCCCATGTGTGGCCAATATATAGAGGCCTGCAACCAAGGCTTACCAACAGACCAACATATCAGCAAGTAGGTTAACACTTTCAGTTTAATCAAACCAGTATCAAGTCCTGAATCAAGTCAATGACAAATTATGCCTGTGTAATATGTTCAACGTGATGTCACATCCCTCCCTTTTGTCCGTCTCCCTCCTACATCTACGGGACCATATGGCCAGCTTAGACAGCATTGCCCCTGACTTACTGTGTACATAAAGTGTTGCTGCCCATGACATACTGTGTACATAAAGTGTTGCTGCCCATGACTTACTGTGTACATAAAGTGTTGCTGCCCCTGACTTACTGTGTACATTAAGTGTTGCTGCCCATGACTTACTGTGTACATAAAGTGTTGCTGCCCCTGACTTACTGTGTACATAAAGTGTTGCTGCCCATGACATACTGTGTACATTAAGTGTTGCTGCCCCTGACATACTGTGTACATTAAGTGTTGCTGCCCATGACTTACTGTGTACATAAAGTGTTGCTGCCCATGACTTACTGTGTACATAAAGTGTTGCTGCCCATGACTTACTGTGTACATTAAGTGTTGCTGCCCATGACTTACTGTGTACATTAAGTGTTGCTGCCCCAGACTTACTGTGTACATTAAGTGTTGCTGCCCCAGACTTACTGTGTACATAAAGTGTTGCTGCCCCTGACTTACTGTGTACATAAAGTGTTGCTGCCCATGACTTACTGTGTACATAAAGTGTTCCTGCCCCTGACATACTGTGTACATTAAGTGTTGCTGCCCCAGACTTACTGTGTACATAAAGTGTTGCTGCCCATGACTTACTGTGTACATTAAGTGTTGCTGCCCCAGACTTACTGTGTACATAAAGTGTTGCTGCCCATGACATACTGTGTACATTAAGTGTTGCTGCCCCAGACTTACTGTGTACATAAAGTGTTGCTGCCCATGACTTACTGTGTACATTAAGTGTTGCTGCCCATGACTTACTGTGTACATTAAGTGTTGCTGCCCATGACATACTGTGTACATAAAGTGTTGCTGCCCATGACTTACTGTGTACATTAAGTGTTGCTGCCCATGACTTACTGTGTACATAAAGTGTTGCTGCCCCAGACTTACTGTGTACATTAAGTGTTGCTGCCCCAGACTTACTGTGTACATTAAGTGTTGCTGCCCCAGACTTACTGTGTACATTAAGTGTTGCTGCCCCAGACTTACTGTGTACATAAAGTGTTGCTGCCCCAGACTTACTGTGTACATAAAGTGTTGCTGCCCATGACTTACTGTGTACATAAAGTGTTGCTGCCCCAGACTTACTGTGTACATAAAGTGTTGCTGCCCCTGACATACTGTGTACATTAAGTGTTGCTGCCCCAGACTTACTGTGTACATTAAGTGTTGCTGCCCATGACTTACTGTGTACATAAAGTGTTGCTGCCCCAGACTTACTGTGTACATAAAGTGTTGCTGCCCATGACTTACTGTGTACATTAAGTGTTGCTGCCCATGACTTACTGTGTACATAAAGTGTTGCTGCCCCAGACTTACTGTGTACATTAAGTGTTGCTGCCCATGACTTACTGTGTACATTAAGTGTTGCTGCCCCAGACTTACTGTGTACATTAAGTGTTGCTGCCCCAGACTTACTGTGTACATAAAGTGTTGCTGCCCCAGACTTACTGTGTACATTAAGTGTTGCTGCCCCTGACATACTGTGTACATTAAGTGTTGCTGCCCCTGACATACTGTGTACATAAAGTGTTGCTGCCCATGACATACTGTGTACATAAAGTGTTGCTGCCCCTGACTTACTGTGTACATAAAGTGTTGCTGCCCATGACATACTGTGTACATTAAGTGTTGCTGCCCCTGACATACTGTGTACATAAAGTGTTGCTGCCCCTGACATACCGTGTACATAAAGTGTTGCTGCCCCAGACTTACTGTGTACATTAAGTGTTGCTGCCCCTGACTTACTGTGTACATTAAGTGTTGCTGCCCCTGACATACTGTGTACATTAAGTGTTGCTGCCCAAGACTTACTGTGTACATTAAGTGTTGCTGCCCAAGACTTACTGTGTACATAAAGTGTTGCTGCCCCAGACTTACTGTGTACATTAAGTGTTGCTGCCCAAGACTTACTGTGTACATTAAGTGTTGCTGCCCCTGACTTACTGTGTACATTAAGTGTTGCTGCCCCAGACTTACTGTGTACATAAAGTGTTGCTGCCCATGACTTACTGTGTACATTAAGTGTTGCTGCCCATGACTTACTGTGTACATAAAGTGTTGCTGCCCCAGACTTACTGTGTACATTAAGTGTTGCTGCCCATGACTTACTGTGTACATTAAGTGTTGCTGCCCCAGACTTACTGTGTACATTAAGTGTTGCTGCCCATGACTTACTGTGTACATAAAGTGTTGCTGCCCCAGACTTACTGTGTACATTAAGTGTTGCTGCCCCTGACATACTGTGTACATTAAGTGTTGCTGCCCCTGACATACTGTGTACATAAAGTGTTGCTGCCCATGACATACTGTGTACATAAAGTGTTGCTGCCCCTGACTTACTGTGTACATAAAGTGTTGCTGCCCATGACATACTGTGTACATTAAGTGTTGCTGCCCCTGACATACTGTGTACATAAAGTGTTGCTGCCCCTGACATACCGTGTACATAAAGTGTTGCTGCCCCAGACTTACTGTGTACATTAAGTGTTGCTGCCCCTGACTTACTGTGTACATTAAGTGTTGCTGCCCCTGACATACTGTGTACATAAAGTGTTGCTGCCCCAGACTTACTGTGTACATAAGTGTTGCTGCCCCAGACTTACTGTGTACATAAAGTGTTGCTGCCCCAGACATACTGTGTACATTAAGTGTTGCTGCCCATGACTTACTGTGTACATAAAGTGTTGCTGCCCCAGACTTACTGTGTACATAAAGTGTTGCTGCCCCTGACATACTGTGTACATAAAGTGTTGCTGCCCCAGACTTACTGTGTACATAAAGTGTTGCTGCCCCAGACATACTGTGTACATTAAGTGTTGCTGCCCATGACTTACTGTGTACATAAAGTGTTGCTGCCCCAGACTTACTGTGTACATAAAGTGTTGCTGCCCATGACATACTGTGTACATTAAGTGTTGCTGCCCAAGACTTACTGTGTACATTAAGTGTTGCTGCCCCAGACTTACTGTGTACATAAAGTGTTGCTGCCCCAGACTTACTGTGTACATAAAGTGTTGCTGCCCATGACATACTGTGTACATTAAGTGTTGCTGCCCATGACTTACTGTGTACATAAAGTGTTGCTGCCCCAGACTTACTGTGTACATAAAGTGTTGCTGCCCATGACATACTGTGTACATTAAGTGTTGCTGCCCAAGACTTACTGTGTACATTAAGTGTTGCTGCCCCAGACTTACTGTGTACATTAAGTGTTGCTGCCCCAGACTTACTGTGTACATAAAGTGTTGCTGCCCCAGACTTACTGTGTACATTAAGTGTTGCTGCCCAAGACTTACTGTGTACATTAAGTGTTGCTGCCCCTGACTTACTGTGTACATTAAGTGTTGCTGCCCCAGACTTACTGTGTACATAAAGTGTTGCTGCCCATGACTTACTGTGTACATTAAGTGTTGCTGCCCATGACTTACTGTGTACATAAAGTGTTGCTGCCCCAGACTTACTGTGTACATTAAGTGTTGCTGCCCATGACTTACTGTGTACATTAAGTGTTGCTGCCCCAGACTTACTGTGTACATTAAGTGTTGCTGCCCATGACTTACTGTGTACATAAAGTGTTGCTGCCCCAGACTTACTGTGTACATTAAGTGTTGCTGCCCCTGACATACTGTGTACATTAAGTGTTGCTGCCCCTGACATACTGTGTACATAAAGTGTTGCTGCCCCTGACATACTGTGTACATAAAGTGTTGCTGCCCCTGACTTACTGTGTACATAAAGTGTTGCTGCCCATGACATACTGTGTACATAAAGTGTTGCTGCCCATGACTTACTGTGTACATTAAGTGTTGCTGCCCCAGACTTACTGTGTACATTAAGTGTTGCTGCCCCTGACATACTGTGTACATAAAGTGTTGCTGCCCATGACATACTGTGTACATAAAGTGTTGCTGCCCCTGACTTACTGTGTACATAAAGTGTTGCTGCCCATGACATACTGTGTACATTAAGTGTTGCTGCCCCTGACATACTGTGTACATAAAGTGTTGCTGCCCCTGACATACCGTGTACATAAAGTGTTGCTGCCCCAGACTTACTGTGTACATTAAGTGTTGCTGCCCCTGACTTACTGTGTACATTAAGTGTTGCTGCCCCTGACATACTGTGTACATTAAGTGTTGCTGCCCAAGACTTACTGTGTACATTAAGTGTTGCTGCCCCTGACATACTGTGTACATAAAGTGTTGCTGCCCCAGACTTACTGTGTACATAAGTGTTGCTGCCCCAGACTTACTGTGTACATAAAGTGTTGCTGCCCCAGACATACTGTGTACATTAAGTGTTGCTGCCCATGACTTACTGTGTACATAAAGTGTTGCTGCCCCAGACTTACTGTGTACATAAAGTGTTGCTGCCCCTGACATACTGTGTACATAAAGTGTTGCTGCCCCAGACTTACTGTGTACATTAAGTGTTGCTGCCCCAGACTTACTGTGTACATAAAGTGTTGCTGCCCCAGACATACTGTGTACATTAAGTGTTGCTGCCCATGACTTACTGTGTACATAAAGTGTTGCTGCCCCAGACTTACTGTGTACATAAAGTGTTGCTGCCCATGACATACTGTGTACATTAAGTGTTGCTGCCCAAGACTTACTGTGTACATTAAGTGTTGCTGCCCCAGACTTACTGTGTACATAAAGTGTTGCTGCCCCAGACTTACTGTGTACATAAAGTGTTGCTGCCCATGACATACTGTGTACATTAAGTGTTGCTGCCCATGACTTACTGTGTACATAAAGTGTTGCTGCCCCAGACTTACTGTGTACATAAAGTGTTGCTGCCCATGACATACTGTGTACATTAAGTGTTGCTGCCCAAGACTTACTGTGTACATTAAGTGTTGCTGCCCCAGACTTACTGTGTACATTAAGTGTTGCTGCCCCAGACTTACTGTGTACATAAAGTGTTGCTGCCCCAGACATACTGTGTACATTAAGTGTTGCTGCCCATGACTTACTGTGTACATAAAGTGTTGCTGCCCCAGACTTACTGTGTACATTAAGTGTTGCTGCCCCTGACTTACTGTGTACATTAAGTGTTGCTGCCCAAGACTTACTGTGTACATTAAGTGTTGCTGCCCCAGACTTACTGTGTACATTAAGTGTTGCTGCCCCAGACTTACTGTGTACATAAAGTGTTGCTGCCCAAGACTTACTGTGTACATTAAGTGTTGCTGCCCCAGACTTACTGTGTACATTAAGTGTTGCTGCCCCAGACTTACTGTGTACATAAAGTGTTGCTGCCCCAGACTTACTGTGTACATTAAGTGTTGCTGCCCCTGACTTACTGTGTACATAAAGTGTTGCTGCCCCTGACTTACTGTGTACATTAAGTGTTGCTGCCCAAGACTTACTGTGTACATTAAGTGTTGCTGCCCCAGACTTACTGTGTACATAAAGTGTTGCGACAGGTCTGACAAGCTACCTGTGTAATGAGGTGGCACAGTAGCCAGGTATGTGTGGCAGGTGGTAGGACTAGGGGGAGAGTAATAGATGCCCGCCACCCAAGGGTTGAGGTGGCACAGTAGCCAGGTATGTGTGGCAGGTGGTAGGACTAGGGGGATAGTGCCAGATGCCCGCCACCCGAGGGTTGAGGTGGCACAGTAGCCAGGTATGTGTGGCAGGTGGTAGGACTAGGGGGAGAGTACCAGATGCCCGCCACCCGAATGTGAGGTAGCACCAGATTCCAGGCATGCAGCAGGTGACTGGGGAGGCGGGAGAGCACTTTGACGCCCCTGTGATGCATGACTGCCCGTGTCTCACTCATCATCCCTCCAGTAACATGGCAGCTCAGTTTTCTGGCCTTGTCTCTTCCAGCTATACTGCTTAGCTGACTATAATCTGCCCTCCAATAGCGAGGGCATGCTCCTTGATAGCTTGCACCAACCAATGTCAGGGTTAAACAAGCGAAGCCGGCTACACACTTTATCACTGGGCTTGCATGAAGCAATTTTATCCAAATTGGTGGGCGTATGTTGACCACATTAATGATAATCTGTTTATCAGACAAGTCAACTGTTAAGTTTTGAGAGTTTCATCTCTACTAGTGTATCACATCCAAAGCTCTCCTGATTTGATTAAAACATGATGACAATACATACCCTTTGGCTTCTCTACCTGAGAGATTGCTGGTCACAGTGTGACATGGTCTATTTCAAGACTACAGATGAGTAAATACAATCTAAATTATCTCAGTTTTGGAAAATTTAGAAAGAGAATGCCATGGCATAGTCATGAAAAAATATATGAGTAATGAGAGTGAAAAAAAATAACAGTTTCCTTAGATCACATAAATGATTTGATCACTCCTCCATCAGCCGCCAGCTGAGAGATATGAACAGGATGACAGATCTTGCCAGGAGACAGCTGTTATAGTTTCATTTGAGCGAGCACATATCCTATAATTCTATGTCATTATTGACTACACGCAACAATAAATGTAGAATACAATAAAAAAAAACATCAATCAGCAGTGACTCAACTGACATGACAATACTGACATTCATTCCACACAACTTGTGTCTCACAGAAAAAGATATGGAGATCCCCCCCCACCCCACCCCCCACGTCAATGATTATGTACCAGGTACCGATCAGCTCCTACAGCTAGCTACTGAGGATGGTCACCTGTGTGAACATGTTTACATGTTTACATAACTGCCGCAGTCACACAGCTCAGTCAAGGATTTACCATATACCTGGGCTACACAAATTCACCTACTGCCTACACAGGTAGTGACTGGTACTTGGCCTGAATCCCAAAGACCAGGCAAATGACATGTATACATGTAGCAATAGTAATGTTGAGTTATACCTACTATGACATACCTACAAAAGTAACATTCCCTGACAGAATGACGGAACTTATTATGACATTTGTTTCTGTCCTGGTGAGTGAGTGAGTGAGTGAGTTGGGTTTAACGCAACTTTTAACAGTATTCCAGTTATATCATGGGTCAGCGACTTAGAGTTATGTTCCCTTGATGTTAGGAAAACGGCTGACGACAAGACTACACATAGGTTTTACACATTTGAGTTTAAAGGAAACACTGCTTAGTTACATCATATTTTCTTTAATTCTCCAGTGAAAGTAATCATACTGCTTTCATTCCATCATAATTGACGAATGTCAACAAACAGTCAATAAAGTAATATTTATTTTCAGGATTTCCATATTTCTGTTCCGGTTTATGTGGAGTTTTGTCATGACATGCAATTTGTCATGACATGGTTTATGAGATATAATTTCATAGTATGCTTATGTTGTTTGGTAGCAATGAATAATGTAAAACGATCACAAGACACATTATTTCTACATAATCTGATAATTATAAGACTTTCATCGCACCATTTAATTTTGTATGTCTGCTACATGACTACAGGGGATGTGGCAAAAGGCTGCTGCATGACTACAGGGGATGTGGCAAATGGCTGCCGCTTGACTACAGGGGAAGCTACATGACTACAGGGGATGTGGAAAATGGCTGCTGCGTGACTACAAGCTACCAGGGATGTGGCAAATGGCTGCTGCTTGACTACAGGGGAAGCTACATGACTACAAGGGATGTGGCAAATGGCTGCTGCGTGACAACAGGGGATGTGGCAAAAGGCTGCTGCGTGACAACAGGGGATGTGGCAAATGGCTGCTGCGTGACTACAAGCTACCAGGGATGACTACAGGGGAAGCTACATGACTACAAGGGATGTGGCAAATGACTGCTGCGTGACAACAGGGGATGTGGCAAATGACTGCTGCGTGACAACAGGGGTTGTGGCAAATGACTGCTGCATGACTATAGGGGATGTGGCAAATGGCTGCTGCATGACTACAGAGGATGTGGCAAATGGCTGCTGCATGACAACAGGGGTTGTGGCAAATGACTGCTGCGTGACTATAGGGGATGTGGCAAATGGCTGCTGCGTGACAACAGGGGTTGTGGCAAATGACTGCTGCATGACTATAGGGAATGTGGCAAATGGCTGCTGCGTGACAACAGGGGTTGTGGCAAATGACTGCTGCATGACTATAGGGGATGTGGCAAATGGCTGCTGCATGACTACAGAGGATGTGGCAAATGGCTGCTGCATGACTTTAGGGAATGTGGCAAATGACTGCTGCATGACTATAGGGGATGTGGCAAATGACTGCTGCATGACTACAGGGGATGTGGCAAATGGCTGCTGCATGACTACAGAGGATGTGGCAAATGGCTGCTGCATGACTTTAGGGAATGTGGCAAATGGCTGCTGCGTGACTATAGGGGATGTGGCAAATGGCTGCTGCGTGACTATAGGGGATGTGGCAAATGACTGCTGCATGACTACAGGGGATGTGGCAAATGGCTGCTGCATGACTACAGAGGATGTGGCAAATGGCTGCTGCGTGACTATAGGGGATGTGGCAAATGGCTGCTGCGTGACTATAGGGGATGTGGCAAATGACTGCTGCATGACTACAGGGGATGTGGCAAATGACTGCTGCATGACTACAGGGGATGTGACAAATGGCTGCTGCATGACTATAGGGGATGTGGCAAATGGCTGCTGCGTGACTATAGGGGATGTGGCAAATGACTGCTGCGTGACTATAGGGGATGTGGCAAATGACTGCTGCATGACTATAGGGGATGTGGCAACTGGCTGCTACATGACAACAGGGAATGTGGCAAATGGCTGCTGCGTGACAACAGGGGTTGTGGCAAATGGCTGCTGCATGACTACAGAGGATGTGGCAAATGGCTGCTGCGTGACTCTAGGGGATGTGGCAAATGGCTGCTGCGTGACTACAGGGGATGTGGCAAATGGCTGAGTGAGTTGGTGCGATCTGCTGATTGCTTCAAACACAATTTTGTGTACACAAAATTGATTAACATTTTAAATAAATAGATTACAAACATAAGTCAAGATTTACAACAAACACATATTTTAACCAGATTGTGTAATAACAGGATTAATTTTGTGTACTTCTGTATGGTTTTGCTGAAAGTTATTTCCAGTGTTACGAGCTCCGAAGACTAGAAATAAAATAAAATCAGTTTATTTATCATTTATCTATATTATTGTCAAACAATGTCCAGAATATTTTTCTTCTGTTTGTGTCAAACCATATCTCAGAATTTGTCCCTTACATGATTTATGCAAAGCGTAGTTACTATCAGTATTGTCTTCATATATAAATATATATGTACTAAAATGTTTTCTAATCCTGCAAATGTGTCACATTCAAAAATACAGATAGAATCTTTATCATTTGTTTATCACATGATCAACACCTGAGGTTGTGCAGACCTGACCTGCAGCAACACTAAAAGAATATTTACTGAACTTAATGATCCTTGAAACCTTGCCAGTCACACACACACACACACTTTCCTAATTGAATTAATCAAGTACCAGGTGTGTTTACATAATATGTATGACAGACCAATCCTGTATAACATAATCAATCATATATGTGAATGTGATATGAAATAAGGCAAACATCTAAAAGGTGCAAGGGGAAAGATTAACTTTCTTATATTTCCACTGTTATCATTTAACCAACTGAGTCCCTTAACCATGTTCATTCCAAGCTAAACTTTCACCTTTAAACTTTCATTTTGGTTTGCTTAACATGCTTAAAGCTGCACTCACATTATTCTAGCTATATGACAGTGGTCTGTAATTATCAAGTCTGGACCAGACAATCCTGTGATTGACACCATGAGCACTGACATACGCAACTGTGATGTGACATCCATCAACCAAGTAAGCCTGACCACCCCATCCTGTTAATTGCCTCTTCTGACAAGCATGGGTTGCCAAGGACCAATTCTCACCTGTCACCGGGACATAAGTTTCAGTAGTGCAACATACAAACTGGTGATAATAACTAGTCAGCATCCAGGTGAACCTGTACCTTTTAAAGGGTCCCTCCCAAACAAAGTTTCAGATGTTTAACATATTTAACATGAAAATCACTGGTAGTTATTGGCGTTGGAAACATAAAACATTACAATAAAGGGTTTGAAATTATTAGTGCCATCATGCCGAGGGCACACCTAACACTGTAATGGCACGGTGAATTCCTTACCTGCGTGCCCCTTTGGCACATTTAATTTATCGATGAAAGTGACTGACGAGTATTTCTGTTGATAATGAAGACTCGTAAGTAAAAATATTTTTTATAAATATGTGCAAAAACCAATTGAATTTCCTTTCTGGAAAACAATGATCAACACGACTGAACTCTTCTAACACCGACTCCCCAGTCACTGCAGGCCGGTACACCGGCCAGCTGTAGAGACGTCAAAATAGTATTTAACATTATGAACCTACCTGTCATATCATTCATTTATTAGATCGGTCATGTTTTTACAATGTCTGAAATACGTATTTTATTTCAGAATTGACTTTGTATTTAATAATTTGTTGAGTGATTTTTGTGACAGAAAAGTGTGGTAGGGAGCACTGCAAGAATAATGTGGATAATAGTAAGGAACGAGGGAGGCATTAGCATGGCTAGTGACAACACAAGAGTGAGTAGGACAATGAATCAGTACTAAATAAAGGCAGCGGGTGAAAATGGCTTGTGTGAATGTTCCAGAACATTATCCCAGAAGCCAAAATATTTGACACTAAACCATTTCACCCTGCTTTCTCTACGTTTTTGTGTGAAGAATATTAGGAGCTGCTATAGAATCTATAATACTAACCACTAAACAGGCACCTAACCCCAATGAGCATAAAGCTAGGATTGATAGATCCAAAAGGAAATCCAAGGGCTAAGGATAGAGTTCGGGTTAACACATGGTTAACCTACCCTGACACGGGCGACATTTGGATATGTTCAGCACCAATAAATTATAATATACCTAATAAACAGCATTCCCGTGCACACGATGCATAATAATGAAAATTAATGAATCAAATAAATAATATATGTAATATTAGTTCCAATTAACATACTCAACAACAAAAGTTCCTGTGACACCAATATTTTAGTGTTTTTTTCAAACAAGTGAAGTTTGGTTTTCAATATTGTAGTATATGTATGGAATCAAGTCACAAAAACGCAACTGCTACAGAACAGCATGCATTCCATGCAAAAGTTGACTTTTATGCAAGCCCCATGCATTTCACTACCCAAGAATGGGTATAAAAACATGTGCGTTAACGGGATTCCATATGCATTGTTTAGCATTGGTATGCTTGAAGCAGGATCGAGTCCACAACGTCCACAACGTCCACAGAAACACCATTTGGTGTTTATTGCAACGTTGGCAACAGACAAATGCAGTCAGAGACCATCCTCGGAGTAGCTGGCCAAGCGTAACAACTGGATTCGAACAACACACCTACGAAATCGATTCCAACCAGCAACAGTGACTGCAAGAAGCATCCCTGGCCTTCGAAGAATATCTTCACAAACCGTACGTCGCTTCCTAAGATGTGCACGGATTGTCGCCAGAAGACCCGCCAGATGGCCCATTTTGACAGGAAACAACCGACAGGAAACCGCAGACAGCGTCTGTGCTGGACGGCCATGCAGTGTCAACAAGTTCTATTCACTGACAAGTCTCGTTTTCACCTCAGCCACAGCGATGGACGGATTTGAGTGTACCGACGTCGAGGTGAACGTTACGTCAATCATTGTGTCATGGAAGTGTGATTACAGCAAGACAGAGGACCCGTTTGATAGTGGTAGAGGGAAATCTCAATTGACAGTGCTACCGCAATGATCATCGGCCCTGTTGTTCTACCGTTTTTGCATCTTCACGGCCTAGGCATTGCCGTTCAACATGACAACGCCCGGCCTCATATTGCTCAACTTTTTCAGGATTCTCTTCAACAAAGCAATGTGAATGTCATCCCCTGGCCGGCTCGCTCCCCTGATCTCTCATCAATCGAGCACATGTGGGATAAGATGGATCGGCGCCTTCGACGTCAACCACGTATTCCACAGACACTCCAGGAGCTTCAAAACATGCTCCAGCAGATATGGACAGATATCCCACAGGACTTTGTGCAACGCCTGGTCCATTCCATGTGACGAAGATGTGTTGCTTGCATCGCATGCAGAGGTGGACACAAACGCTATTGATCTGTAAAGTGACATTTTGGCATGTTCATGTTTTTTATTAAATCCCGCATTTTCTGAAGTCAGTATGGCAAATTAAACCTTTTGAACACTTACAGGAGACTTTTATCTGTTGCAAACTGAAATTGTTTCAGATTTGTTAAAAAACATAACTTTGCAATAAATCTTATTCAATGCCACAGGAACTTTTGTTGTTCAGTATAATCATGATAATAACTTTAGCCACTGGAATTCCAAAAAAAATGAAATATAAAATAAATTGAAAATAAATGTGCTTTCACAAACTAGCGGTTGCTATACAAGGGCTATATTTAGTAAATAAATGTTCAAAACTCTCAAAATTGCTGGGCTTATTCAGTGACATTGCGTGTTGAGATGATAGCTCACTGGGAAGAGCTTATGCACACTCAATGACCCAGGACGTCACAGGGCATTGTTTCGGTGATGTGACTGGCAACAAAATACTACAAATTATGTCATAGGGTACTGTGACGTGTTTGAAGAGTTTGTGGTACTGTATTATAAAGGTTGACCAAAAAAAAATTCCAGGCTTTGAACACACTATAACTATAAAAACCTGCAAATCTGAAAACATACTATTTATCACACTGAGCAATCAAATTAAACCAGTTGGACCAATGTCCATGATAAAATCCCAGCCAACGAACTCCAAGCTCTAGTACTTCTCTAATGTTCAATCCTATCATCATATTGTAGCACCAGGCACAAGAACAATCAACCAAGAATCAATTTTTCTGGATATAAAACAAATAAGCTATATAGAAACTAACACATTTAATCGATTAGTCCTTTAATGATAGCATATAGCAAAACTGTTAACAATGGTACATTTCTACCAGTCCTTATGATACCTTAACTATTTGGCAGTTTGGCAAGAAGTTGAGGACAATGTGTCACCCTGTTGCTGTCATGTTCAATTTGCTGCTCATTTATACTCTAATTATTACATGCATAAAACTGTAAAGTGACTTATAAAATAAAATCTAATATGTAAGATGATTGCCATCTGGGCCTGCCTGTCTGTTAACGTGCCTGAAATTTTAACCTGTTATGAGAATTTACTGAATGTATAGTTCGTACAATCTGATTGAGCCTTCCTCTATTCAGGAAGCAGTAAGACGGCTTGTGTGAAGCTGTCTTCTGAAGTGGTCATCTCTGGCCAGGGTCAGTTGAGGTCACCTATTCCTCCACACAACTGTCCAGTACGATTGACAGCGTACCTTGTCTAGGCTAATACCTAATGTCTAGCAAGTACAAAACTACCTTCTACTGACGTTTTCATTTTATAAACACAACATACATGCCTCACGGTCCAAGTTTACAAAGCACGTTTTTCTATCCAAACTCACTGTAAAGCTCATTGTAGCGAGCATAGATTATCATTATTCACATGCTTTGTCCATGCGGCAATTTCTGTGACATTTTCGAGCTTAAGATCGAATGTCAACATGCAGTGACAAATGGTCAGTAACACACGCATAATAATAGACTGATAATTCCAGATAAATTGACGATCTTACCCCTATGACACTGAACCACGTCCAGCTGCCTATCCATGGCGGCGGGTATTTGATCCATAGTTGTTCAACCGAATCCTATCTCACATACACTCCGTGACCATGTGCACCAATGCCGGAAATGCGCGCCAAGTTGAAAACAAGCATTGCGCAGTCGCGAAAATGCATCTCGCGTGAACATTTCACACTTATCGCGTTTTATAACAACAATTTATCCCTCAAATGATGCGTTTATTCGTTTTCTAAACGCTTCAAACTGGAATTCGCGGTATATCATAATCTAATAAATGAATTAATATATGATGAAAGGGAGAGAAAGTGTGTTTTTGTAACTACGACTCCTGAAGACAAGACGAATTATCTCCCTTTGTTTCTAAGTTACATTAGCCGATACCATCATATTATACCGATATCTGGTCTCCGACATTTGGTACCATATAACAATACCCTTTTCCAGCATTCCACATTGAGTTTCATGTACTCTCGCTATAATGTATTTACATGAATTGCCATCTTTCTTGCTGAAATTGGACCAAATAGTACAATTAAGACATGAGACTTTTCTAATTTCTTTTCATTCGAATACAAAAATTGAGGAGAACCTCTCGAGAAGTGAGAAGGTGAATTCGTAATCACACCAGATCGTAGCCATGGAGAATTCGCAGCTCGTAGACAGATTTCACCGCGAACTCGTACAAAAAACTACTTACTTACTTAAATTAGGAATTTAACGTGCGCTTTCCGGCATATGCGTATTTCGCGCACTCGGCGTGACGTTCTGCCAGTCATCTTTTATAGAGACATATGCGGAAGCTATAATTAATCTTCTTCTCAGCTTGGATCTATGGGTAATCAATCCCATACTCCACTCACAGTTGTCCTTCTGGGATGGGACATACTTACCTGGGTATTTATTTATAATAGTAGTTACAAAGAACCATGCAAATCATGCAAAATAAGACTACAGTAAACCACTACACCCACCATGCACTTACTGAACCTCTAGTGTTCTTCAGCTTGGATATACTTACCGAATTATTTGTTTATGACAACTTTGATCCAGAGGATCAACACGGCCCGAAGAAATTTTGTAGCATATCTACTGGTAAGGCAGGATAAATCGTGTTGTGATCTGATAATTACCCCATATGACTATGGTTGAGGTCCGCCCACTGGCGAGTACCATTGTGAAGAAAGGGGTAGAGGGTGGTCCACGACAAGTAGTACGATGAATATGTGCGTGTCGGGTCTCGGTTAACAACGAGCTCAATAGCATGTCATAGATGCTGTCAGTTATTTTCGAACTACGTGTGAGTGCGTGAGTGAGTGAGTATGGTTTTACGCCGCTTTTACCAATATTCAAGCAATATCAGCGCGGGGACACCAGAAATGGGCTTCACACATTGCACCCACATTACATACTAACTGTGAATAGGCGATCGAAGAGCGCCCTGGTCCAAAAAGTCAAGTTGGGATTTGATGGCTGGAAGATATCTCGACTTGCTTGGGCTTATAAAACTACTCTCTTTGTCCCGAGCGAAACCTTCTGCTCTGATGCACTAGATACAGACAGAACAGTGGCAATGCTAGCTTTTGACAATGTTTGAAATTTATTTGTACATTCTTTCTCCATGGGCTTGGATTCTTTTTCTTCTGAAAAGAGAGCTAAGATTTTTTTACGGCACATTTCCAATTCAACCTATTGAAAGAATGTTCTGTGTTCGCTAAAACATAATAACTGTGCAGATGTAGGTGATTTTGAGGTGATGGTGAAACGGGGTTTAACGTCGCGTCCAAGATTATTGCACTTACATAGCGACAGGTGATTTAGAAACAGAACAATGAAAATAGTAGTATAATAAAGCATTTTTTTAGAGTAATAAATAAAAGACCCTTTTTTTTACAAAAGACCATTATTTGTAGCAAAACCCAGTCAACTTGGCATGTTTGTACTCACATCTACTAGAGGAATGTACTTGTCAATTACTGAGATGTGGATGATGGACATAAGTAGCATAACTTTTGGACAGGGCCAGGGACAGGCGATACTTCATGGTCGACGTCGTGGGTGAGGCAATACCCCTGAACGTCGTGGAGCTTTTCTCCCAAAGAGCATTTTTGAAAAAATGACAGTCCAAGTACAATGTACTATTTCTCCTCAGATTGTCAGAATTAGGACAAACTCACTTACATCATCACAAATTTTTATAGGCAAAATGCACCCATAAGGCAAGAATGTTCAAGACAGGCATGCGTTCAATAGGCCGAGGCGCTTTCTGAGCGCCTACTGGGCGCTCTCCGCGGGCGCTCGGGTGTAATCGAATGATCTGGCAACTGCCGCCGGCAGAGGGCGCGGTTTTCAAAATGGCGTTGCAGACTGATTTTAGCAATATTGTTGAACATTGTGTATGTGAAGTATTATTGTTTAGAATAAAGATACGATAAACTTTCCGTTAGTAGTTAGACGGTCACCGATCAGACAACAAAACTCCATTTTATGGCATTATCGTGATATACGTCGACCCAACTCATGTAATCCTACCGACTTAATTAACATTGGAAAATCAAAATATAGACTAGATTGTCAGTGACACTTGACACTGAATGAGATTTCATAGTTCGCTGTACAAGTCACTAATTTGTGGTAGACAGGCTCGTCGGGGATCAGATACCAGCTCGCTATATCCGTTAGTTCGCCGAAGAGAGTTCGTTATGTACGTAAATTTCATATGATAATATATAGGAGATAAATCGTGGATTTTGTTGCATCCGTTTGTTCGCTCTATCCGTGTTCGTTATATCCGTGTCGTACTGTATTTACAAACGTACTGGGGTACATAAAATAAAGTCGAATTGGAACGTTAATTGACTAAAGACTTCTGGTTCTGCATTGAAGTTATCGAAGATGTTGATTTAAGAACCCAAATAGAATCTTATCTGCATTCCAGGTATTTTATTTACCAGTTATTTGGGTAAAACATAATGATTTGATGTTTATATTCATATATATTTAATTTCAATATATTCTGGACAGTAAATGAAGGGGAATAAATTAAATACATCGGGTAAGACATGTCACTATATTGCCAAAACGGCAAGAACAAAGTCTCATAAATCACAAAAAAATAATTAATTACCTATAGGGTTAGAAAAAAATCGAGTTACTAAAAATCGTATGTGCACTGGTGCAATATCGTTCACGCGCACTAGTATATTTTATTACTTGCGCGTGAAGAGATCACCCGTTTTATAAACATACAGCTGTATTACACATTGTGTAATACCAAAACGCGTGCTTATGTACTCTCGGAACACGTTTCACGAGCAAATATTGAAAGCTCTCAACATCCCTTGGCTTATTCAACGTGTGGAGTTGAGTTGAGAGGAGCTTATGCACACTCGATGACCCCAGCAACCTTGTTGCTAGGCTGACGTCACACTGCATTGTTTCGCTGATGGATCTTGCAACAAAATTCAACAAATGACGTCATCGGGTATTGTGACGTTATTGTAAACTTTGAGGTGCAAGGCCCGTTCCACATCCCGTATTGTAGCGCAACGACAGTCGTTAGTCTGTTAAAGTGTGTGAGTTGCGATAGTCTTAGCCCTACGATTATTTTGTCAGATACATAGGGAATACTACACTCATTCTCGTTAGATACCATTTTTACGAAACGAGTGGACTTTCAATGGTATCTGACCGAGCGAAAGCGAGGTCAGATACCATAGAAAGTTCACGAGTTTCGTAAAATATGGTATCTAACGAGAATGAGTGTGGTATTTTATTTATTAACCACGTTAAAATATATTTAAGTGTAAATACATAACAACTTTCGTTCGTTGACAGACCAAACTGAAACCGGTTGCAAAATCTGGTTGCGCATGAATATTGATGTATGACCAAATATGGGCATTGTTGACATGTTTATGGATACGCATTAACAACATGTGCCTGCTGTTCTGTTTGTAAACAAACCAGCACCGACGCTCAAGATCCTTTAGGAAGAAATTCTTCAACTTATGGTAATTCAAGCGCCATGTTGTTAGTACGCAGGACACCGATAAGAACATTTGAAATGTCACATTAGCGCCGCGCTTTGAATATCGGACCAACAGTCGGTCACTCGCACTGCCGGGGTCCTGGCTGTGCAATCAAAATGGTCCGGTTTCCTTGATCTATCAGCTGAATTTATATCATTTTCGTACCATTTTGGAAGAGGGAAATCAGACTGTTCGCCAAAGACATTCATGTTAACTGTACCACCCTATATACTGAAGACGTGAAAATCAACAAACTCAAATCTGCCTGCATGTCAGTGACAGCTTCGAACGATCGAAGGGCAAGGTCGCCACCGGAATAAGAAAAGACAACCGCGATCCACTCACAGCGTTTTACGCCAGAATGTTATTATTCACATATGGGATGTTTGGGGCCACAAAATCAGAAGTCATGCACACTTCCATGAAGTTTTCGAATGATTTGTATCGGAACTGTTAACTTTAAGTGATCTGGTGGTGCTGTCGTGTACGTTCATTCATGAACAACACCTCCCGAAACAGCGCCACAAAACACGCTTCAAAGGGGACAACGATGGCACAACCGGATCATCCCAAGTAAGTCTCGATATCTGTCCAGATAGTTTAAACAGACTTCATTTCACCACGCTTATCCTTTTACGTTAAATCAAATTGAAAGTTGCGAAAGTGGTCGGGTGCGTCACGCACAAGGGGACCCTCGCTCTATTGATCGGTAGTCGTACATTGTAAATCGATTTATAGATCTAGCTCGATTATATATAATGTCTGTAGAAGCTCTATGCATAACTTACATAGAATGCAAACCGAATTTGATGCGTGTGACTATCTTGTTTGGTTTAATAAAGTGTTTGTAAACATCTCTCGTTCTCATGAATTTCTTCAGTTCTGCCTTGAATGACGTCTCGCGATTTTTTATGAATGAAAAAAGTAGTCCCGGCGTGACAGAGGTCACGGTTATCCAATCAAAACGAATAAAACAAGGTCAACCTTGTACGACACACGTGTGACGTACGGATTTAGTATCTTACCACCTGCATCTTCACCAAGTGGGTAATAAAACTATTAACTCGTTTAATAAAATTGGTATTACACGGGAGCTCGTTTAGTATTCTATATGTATGTCATCCGGGCGGCATTGTTATCGTCTTTCAAATTTTATTCTGACACTAGAAATGACGTCATAGCTGAAGACTGTTGACGTCATTTGACAATTGTGGTTTTCCAAAACGGCGGTCGTGATCAGTGCATTTCTCTAAAGGAAAGCTCAGATGGATTAAGAAATAATAGGTAACAAAGAAGTTATTACACTCGCATGTTTGTCATACTGATTTTACGAAACTCGTCTAAGAATAAATGTATTGCTCTTGTTCGGGAAAAACAATATTTCCTTGGGTGTGTTTTTTTAGTCAACACTTGAAGATTCCTGGTTATGTTTATTGACCAAAAGTAATCTATGCATGCATATTGTATGATTCAACTAAATGGATCGGTGACTTGGTGGATTGTGTTTCATTGTAACCCGACGGCCATTCGTCACCACTTGCCCCTTTCAGTAACCTAACTGCTTGTCCCCGAATAACACAAGTTGGTCACGAATGCCCCGAAGGCATGGGAGGTTGTCCAATTAAACCACTGGTAAAAAACAACTATTCGCAATGTTTTAGATTTGTTTCAGAGAAGATAGACACCTATGAAAATATCTCAATTTACGTTTCCAGTTTCGACAAATGAAGGAAAATATCGCATAATAATACATGTCAAATGTTTACAAAAAGAAATCATATGAGTGTTATTGGAACAAAACTGCAACTTCATACCAAATTTTATTGTACATGTATCTTGTTCACAAACAGACGCATGAAAAGGAATTTTTCTGTACTGAAATTAACAGGGGTTGCAAGGGAAAATACTCCGTGCTGCGAGGGGCTTCAAAATGCAGCTAAAACAATTGGAATGTCCTGGTTTTAACAAGTGAAAAGTCTTCCAATAAATGTATTTACTTATGTGGTGGTATTAAACTTCACCATTGAGTGCGTGTATGTCTAACAAGTTGTTCCATGTCGAAAATGTAATGTTCACAGGCCCCGCATTTGTCCAAGTCCGCCATCTTTGTCCCTCGGCGTGCCTCTTCAGTATGCGCGGAGGCGCTGGAAAGCGCTCTTAGCGTGCGTTCCGTTCATTAGGAAATATACGGAGGTGCTCGCTAGCGCTCGCTGGCGCCCGCTGGCGCCTCGGCACCAAACGGCTTATTGAATACACCTCAGTTGAGTAGTTGATGGCAGCGGTACAGGACCGCTCCTGGCTTCTGATTGGTCGGTTTTTGTGATGACGTCACTTTCGGTTCGGTCACGTGACCTGCGCAGGGCTTTGTGGGTCATGCGCGCGCATCCAAGATGGCGGCACTTCCGTTTCCGAGGGGTCATCTCCCCTTCCAACATGGCGGCTCGGCGCCTCCAAGAGGGGAGGAGGGCGGGAAGAGGAGGAGGAAGAGGTTGTTTTTTTTGTGTGTGTGTTTTTGTTTTGGTGGATGGGTGGTGAGAGGGTCGTCAACGCCAAGGATGAAAAAGCATTCTTTCGGGAGAGATGGGTGGCCCTGAAAAAGGGCCGTTTTAGAGAAGAAGAAGATTACTTCTTCTCCCACATAGGTGCTGTGGTGCAAAAGCACGGGTGGCCTGCCACCTGTCTCCTGACAGGACACTGACTGGTGTGGCGATATGACATGTGGAGACGATAGATCACTGAGACGAGCTTATAATACACAGTCGACGACCCAGCAACTTTGTTGCTAGGTTCACGTCATATCGGCGAAGAATCCTGCAACAAAATTCCACAAATCTAATGGTGATGTGATTGTAAACTTTGAAGTGCAAGGTCTCGTTCCACAAGGCGATCATACTGTAGCGCAATGACAGTCGTTCGTCTAAGTTAAAGTAGTCGAGTGGCGATCTATCACCTTAATGCTACGATCATGGTGTGGAACGGACGTCTGAATTCTACATGCACAGACATGAACGTGATGTAGGTATATGCCTACGTGATGTGTTTCGTGTCTCCATGCAAACATGGTGCCACGCGTGACTACAAACAGACGTTTATCCATATGATGATGTCGTTGTCACTCGTTCATCCACGTCGAGAAGTTGGCACTCGTGTATGTTTACATGTGTACTGTCACGCGTGACTCTATGCACACGTGATGTACTTCGTGTTTTCATGCACATGTGGTGTCACGCGTGTCTCCATGTAAAGGTGGTGTCATGTGTGTGTCTTCAAACAGACGTTTATCCATATGATTATGACGTTGTCACTCGTTCATCCCTGTCGTGGAGTTGGCACTCGTGTATGTTTACATGCGTACTGTCACGGGTGTCTCTATGCACACGTGATGTACTTCGTGTTTTCATGCACGTGTGGTGTCACGCGTGTCTCCATGCAAAACGTGGTGCCACGCGTGACTACAAACAGACGTTACTAGAAGTATATATATATAAAGATCGATACACATGCGAGACGTTTGCAAACGTGATGTACTTCGTGTCTCCATGCAAACATGGTGTCACGGGTGTCTCCATGGAAACGTGGTGTCATGCGTGTCTTCAAACACACGTTTATCAATATGATTATTTATCATATTTATATTTATAAGGATAGAGAGAGATCGATAGACATACGTGGTGTTTGACTGTATCTTCTTCTGCCTGTGTGGTGGCTGCTGCTGCTGCTACGGGTGTTGTTGTTGGTGTTGTCTGGGACGAGTACTGCTGCAGCAATGGTGCATGTGAGGTTACTGTTTCAATGAGTGCTGCTTCTGCTGCTTCTATTGCTGCAGGTGTTGCTGCGGTGGCTGCTAGTATCGATGTCCATAGTGCTGAGTCGAGTTGTTGTGCTGCTTTCACTGCTTCTGAGGGTGTTGTTGTTAGTATGGGTGCTGCTTCTGCCGCTGCGATGAGTGCTCAGATGAGTACGTCTGTTCCTTTTAACGTTCCCTCTGCTACCACTGCGGTGAGTGTTGCGACGTGTGGTGCTGCTGCTTTTTTTGCTGCTTTGAGTATGGATGCTGTGAGTGTTGCTGCTTCAGGTCTTGGGGTTGACTTTTCCACGTAGAGTTCCATGCTAGGGATGCAGATGCCATACCCTGTAGGCAGAAATGTGTCCACGATGCTCTTTAACTTCTCATGCATGCAGTCATGGGAAGCTTTGTACAAGGCACTCGTTCTCATCATCTCCCAATGTAGAACTAACCACACCTCCAGGATGTCCGCCATTGCACGACGGAAATGCTCGCTATTGGGAACGTCCTTGTACTTGTCCCCCTTCTCCTTCTTCTTCTGTTTGACGGTGATGCGGTAGTAGCCGTTGTTTTCATACGGTGGTAGTAGCCGGAACATAATGATGTTGATGCTTGGACCGTTCAGTGAAAAGTGAAGACCTGAGAGCGTCTGTTAGTTTTAAGACACTGATACCCTGTTTCCTGATTGGTCCGTTCCGGTGTATGGTCTGAGTCTCAATTTTGCCAAACTGGACCGACCCTTGTGTTTCTTTTCCATAGGAAATGTTTTTTTCCATGAGAGAGAAAGCACAACCTCGTTTCGACCAATCAGAGGGTCGCCCAGGGCAAAGGCGGCCTCTGATTGGTCAAAAACCCAGGATTCTGATTGGTCAGATTTCGATCTGTTTTTTCTGTAGGTGTCCATGTCGGTTCATTTTCAATCCGTTGTGACACCCCAATGGTATGAAATAAAAAAATGATCGAGTCGTCTCTGTACCCAAAGGGGAGCGTGTCTACAGGCAGCTCTGTGATTTCGTCGTAGACGAGCGTCGCTTGTCGTTAACGGTGCGGTAGTCTTTTCGGGTGGGTCAGGTCACAAGAGCGTTCCCGTGCCGAGGTCCTTTTCGAATGATTTGATGCGGGTAATCCAAGCTGATTTTTTCCCCCTCCTTCCCAGGCCGTTGTCCCAGTATCAGTCCTTTCATGGTGTCAAAGTTGAGGTGTTGTTGGTGAACCCTTTGCAGGTCGTGAGTGTTCCATCAGGTCTGGGGTTCATTAACTCAAAGCCATGGTTTTTTGGGCCTCCTGATACAAACATCTTGATGGTGTTTCCGTCCAGTTCGTCTGTAAACTCAACCAACGAATGGCCAAAATCTGAATTCGTGTCGTGGGGTCGATGAATGTAAATGACGCTGTCCGTGTCAAAGTACAAGACCCTGCGACCCACCAGGGCGAGGGTCTCGTACAGCTTGAGACGCGCTTGTGCAGTGACCCAAGCAGCTATGGCGACATTGAAATGAGAATGAGAGGTTTGGAATTCTTCCTTGTGGGTATAGGTCACTTCCATCATGTGTTCGTTGACAACGGTGACATCCTCGATGGTATTTCGGTCATCCCTCCGCAAGGCAAAGTACTGTGCAGGATCGTTCATATAGACGTTCTGACTATCTTCTAACCGTTGTCCGAACTTGCCCAAGAGCAAATTAAGAAAGAGCTTGGCAATCGTGCGAAGTCCTGTTTTTTTTTCGATGCGATCCTTGTCCAACCGAATGCCTTCTTTGTCATAGATCTCCTGGATGTAAGCGTTGTGATCGGTACATCCCTCGGGGTATCTGCTGGCTTCTAGCTTCTCCTTGAAATGACGATCAATATAGGTGTCAAAGAGTCCTTCTTGCTGGGTGTCGGGTTCATGCTGTACAAAGGTGTCGAAATGCCAAACGTCGAAGGTCTGAAGCACCTTGTAACCATACTTCTTCACGGCTTCATGGAGTTCTATGGTGGGGTACGTGCCCACCCAAGACCTCTCTTCGTCCGTGTGCTCGCAGGGTGAGTTTGACCGGGTATGGTAGAGTCGTTTCGGCGGTAGGACACGACATTGGATAAGTCCTTTCAGCTCAAACAACGTGTCCACAGGTGGTTGATGGAGAAGGGTTGGGGATTGGCAAATGTAAGGATAAAGTGAACAGATATCGATATACTTGATGGTTTCACCTTCTTGGGCTTCGTAGCATAATCGAGTGGCATTGGTGCGTCCTCCATAGAAGGCGTCGAGAGGGTTGAGCGGTCCAGGTACGTGGATACAGTGGGGTCCCTGCAAGAAAGCAAGCAATGCGGAGTCCTCCTGTTGCATTTTTTTAAACTCGTGCTCCCACAGGGTGACGACCCTTTTCACCTCAGGGTGTTGGTTCAAGAGACTCAGGCGGTAGCGGGTGTCGTTATAACGTGCTCCCATCGACGTGCCCAGGACGGGATGAGGTTCTCCATGTTTGGTCTTGTGACATGTCTGACACCCATGCCAGAAACACCCCAGGAATACGTAGATGGTGCCTGTCGTTGAATCGTAGCCATCCACACTCTTACGATGTTTGCCCTCTCCACACGTGAACTCTTTTTCACCTCCATTCCTGGCATGCTGGAGGTGCAGATCGGGGTCCGTCTCCATGAGATAACTTAACCAGTGCATACAGGCCTGGGAAAAGTTTCTCTTGGGTTGGTAGCCTTGAGGTGGAAGAATGGGTTTCAGATCGTGTTTTCGGAAGGATTTCATGGTGAATGCAGCGGCTGTCATCACCTCTACAAAGGGATCCATGAGAACTGTCCTGATAGCGTTCTGTCGGAAGTCAGCGCATCCCCGTCTCAAAATGTCGACATCACTCTGACAGTAGGCTAAGAGTTCTTCTTGCAAGTCAAACAAGGCTCCTTCTTGAACTTCCTGGGTATGCCACTGGAGGAAGGCAGTGCGTTCCGTGGGAGACATGCCATCGGGATCGTACATGACGGCTGGTGGATAGGGACCTCTGTAGGTCTGGTTGGCTTCGGTATTGAAAAAGTGTGGAATATACCCTTTCTTCAGTTCATTTGGTCCAAAGCTCTTTGGAAATGCTTTCAGTGGGTAGGGTATGAAATTCAAACTGTCTTGGAAACACAATCTTCCCAGGGTAACCTGTAAAATCTGTTGTCCATTCCGAATCTTGGTGGGGAGTTTCACCAGATGGGGGTACAGGCCCTTCAGGATCAAGTGCAAATCATAGGATCGTGCATTATGTGCCATCACATAAATAAGCTCCTCCTTCTGGACAGTGGTGTTCTTCATCGTCTTTGTCTTCTCCTTCCCCTTCCCCTCTAACGGGGTGGGCGCGTCCACCTCCATGGCATCCTCCCCCTTGCCCTCCTCCTCCTCCTGGGGTGATGAACATCGCTGAAGTTTCGTGGGTGAATGAGTTGAGAGGGTTCCATCCTGTTTTCTTTTCCCTAGCCGTGATGTGTCCCCTTGCGTGTGCTGCCCTCCTCCTCCTCTTGGTTCTTCTTCTTCTTGGGTTTTTCAGCCAGAGTTGTCAACCAAACACACACCAATCAGAAGCTTGGGTTTTTGACCAATCAGAAGACCACACCTGAGCGAGTTGTGCTTTCTCTCCCATGGAAAATGTATTTTTTTCCCATGAAAAAAACAAACACAAGGGTCGGGTCAGTTTGAAAAAAACGAGGCTCGGTCCAGGCACGGAAACAGATCAATCGGCGTGTCACATTTGGACCCATCAAAACAGGGGCCCTTTTGATCCACTCTAAAAGTGGAAAAAATGAATTGTGTTGTCTTTTTAGGAGTGGGAAATCAGCATGCTCACCCCACGGAGAAAAACAGGATAAAAAAATGGTTACCCATCAGAAGCTTGGGTTGTCGTCCAATGAGGAAACAGGGTGTCAGTGCCTTTAAACCAATAGACGCTACCTGGTCATCACTTTTCCTATGGAAAAGAAACACAAGGGTCGGGCCAGTTTGGAAAACCTGGGTGCAAGTCAGGCGCCGGAACGGACCAATCAGCGTGCAGCGTGTTGGACCAATCAAAACAGGGACCATTTCGATCCTCTCCCTGCACTCCTACACCACGTTCATGTCTGTGCATGTTGGTTCACCTTAAGAAATTCAGGCGTTCGTTCCACACCATGATCGTAGCGCTAAGGTGATCGCCACTTAGACGAACGACTGCCATTGTGCTACAATTACCTTGCACCTCAAAGTTTACAATCACGTCATAATACCCGATGATGTCGTTTGTGAAATTTTGTTGCAAGATCCTCCAGCGATATGACGTCAACCTAGCAACAAAGTTGCTGGGTCATCGGCAGTGTATTATTAGCTCGTCTCAGTGATCTATCATCTCCACACGTAATCGACACCCACCCTGCTTGCTTTGTCAACACAAACTACAATCCCAAAGGACCCACACCCTCCCCCCAGTCCTCTTGGAGGCACACCCCTACGAGTGACACCACGTCTCTATATATGTTTGTATGTTTGTATGTATGTATGTGTACACAAGTGGCATCACGTTTGCTTGGAGACACGAGTCAAACACCACGTATGTCTATCGATCTCTCTCTATCCTTATAAATATAAATATGATAAATAATCATATTGATAAACGTGTGTTTGAAGACACGCATGACACCACGTTTGCATGGAGACACCCGTGACACCTGGTTTGCATGGAGACACGAAGTACATCACGTTTGCAAACGTCACGAATGTGTATCGATCTATATATATATATATACTTCTAGTAACGTCTGTTTGTAGTCACGAGTGGCACCACGTTTTGCATGGAGACACGGGTGACACCACGTGTGCATGGAAACAGGAAGTACATCACGTGTGCCTGGAGAAACGCGTGACAGTACGCATGTAAACATACACGAGTGCCAACTCCGCGACAGGGATGAACAAGTGACAACGTCATAATCATATGGATAAACGTCTGTTTGAAGACACACACATGACACCACCTTTACATGGAGAGACGTAGTACATCACGTTTGCATGGAGACACGTAGTACACCATGTGTGTTTGAAGACACGAAGTACACCACATCTGTTTGAAGACACGCGTGACAGTACACATGTAAACATACACGAGTGCCAACTTCTCGACGTGGACGAGTGACAACGACATCATCATATGGATAAACATCTGTTTGTAGTCATGCGTGGCACCATGTTTGCATGGAGACAAGAAATACATCACGTAGGCATATACCTTCATCAAGTTCATGTCTGTGCATGTCGATTCACCTTTAAAATCAGACGTCCGTTCCACTTGATCGTAGCGCTAAGGTGATCGCCACTCGCCTACTGTAACTTAGACGAACGACTGTCATTGCGCTACAATACGATCGCCTTGTGGAACGAGACCTTGCACTTCAAAGTTTACAATCACATCACCATACCCGATGACATGATTTGTGAAATTTTGTTGCAGGATTCTTCGCCGACATGACGTGAACCTAGCAACAAAGTTGCTGGGTCGTCGACTGTGTATTATAAGCTCGTCTCAGTGATCTATCGTCTCCACATGTCATCGCCACACCAGTCAGTGTCCTCTCAGGAGACAGGTGGCAGGCCACCCGTGCCTTTGCACCACAGCACCTATGTGGGAGAAGAAGTAAACAAACACAAAAAAACAAGAACCTCTTCCTCCTCCTCCTCGTCCGCCGCCGCCGCCGGAAACGGAAGTGCCGCGATCTTTGATGCGCGCGCATGACCCACAATGCCCTGCGCAGGTCACGTGACCAAACGGAAACCGGAAGTGACGTCATAAAAAAACCCGCCCAAACAGAGGCCAGGAGCGGTCCTGTACCGCTGCCATCAACTACTCAGGTGCAAGAATTGTTTGAAGCCAATATCATTCAACCCAGTTCTTCTGAATGGCACTCTCCCATTGTCATGGTTAAAAGATGATAGCTCTTACCGCTTTGCCGTATTTATCCCTCTACCACCTCTGCAAATATTTTTAGTGTGCTTGATTTTGCTAGTGACTTTTGGCATCAGATGCAAAACACATGGTTTTTTGTATGGAATCGCCTCTCTTTTGGCCTAAACATGCTCCAATGGCATTTTTGCAAACAATTTAAGCGGCAATAAAGAAATGAATTGGTGTTACATTCTAATATATGTAAATGACATAATATTTTCTGAAACGTTTTTGGAATATTTGAGTCACCTCGGGGCAGAATTCCAAAAGAACAAGAAAGCAGGGCTCACTCTAAAACAAACCAAATTTTCGACAAAACGGAAGTCACCTACGAAGGGCATATCTTCCGCAAAGATGGCATAATCAAACGTGCACGTTGAAGTTTAATTATTCCCTTGCTATGGTTTTCGGACGCAAATATAAACATTTGTAATTTTCTCGTTAATCACAATAACAACTGTAAAGTATCTCACTCATCTATAAAAGATAACTTTATCCTAAAAACAGGTCATTATCTGAGTATTTACAATGTCTCTGTGACGCCAGATCCCTTTGCTACAGCGCGAGTAATGCGATAACCATGGCCTTCCGAAAACGTATGATGTCCGAAAACCTATGATCCGACGATTATTTACTGAACCAGCTTAGCCGAGCCATTTTGGTCCTAAATATATCGTATGGAGCGGTGTCCATGACAGAGCTTCAAATCCCATTTTAGTTCGGGGCTTGAGAGCCAGGGGCCGCAAGGTTGAGGGTGAAACCCAGTCGGGGGTTCGTGGCTTCAATGTGTTTCAGTTTTCCGCACAATTAACCCCCTAAGACGTGTGTTGTGCCCTTAAACCTAGCTCTAAAGACGCATCCTTTACGATATTTATTTTCTGCGCCAAATACATTTTGGAAGAAAAAAGAGGCGCATGAAAGAATAAGAATAATCCAACGTGCACGTTGAGTTTTAATTAAAACTTAGATTGGCAGAGCTTCCAATCAGGCCGGGCTATATATACAGCGAGAGACTGTGGGTTCAGGGTGGAACGCCGTGGGGAACTCATCGGATTTTGTTTTTCCACCTAAGAGCTATTTCTACATTTCTTTAGTTCAGTAAGATTTAGTGCAGAAAGGAGAATATGTTAACCTCATTCAACTTGTGTAGTCATATGGAGTCATGAATAGTGCATCACTCCTGAAGATTGTTTTCCTACAAATTTAAATTGTTGTCAGCCTTAAGTTTGGATCTTACTTAAGATTAAATAATCTTGACTTGTGAGCTTGATATTATATTGAATATCTTGGGATTTAAGCGGTATGCTTTTGAAAGTTGGCAAGGTCTGCACAAGATCTGATAATTTAAGCTGCCATAATTAATGTGACCACCTTCTGTAGGTGGCGCTGTTAGTGACGTCACGGGAACCCCCTCGCTGATAAAAATAGATCACAGTCTCAATGGTAGCACTACTGTCAGAGCGTAGATATATTTTTCGAGAACCCCGAACTGCTTTAACAGAAACACTAACGTAACTCATAGGCTTGTTTATCCTTTGAAGATACATTTCAATTCATCGCACATTTGTCTGAATGCCGCGATTAGTCGCGACGCATGAGGAAATCAAAATGGCGGACGATGTCAGCGATTTACCGGACGCTCTCATAGCAACAAATGTTGAAGAAAGAGTATTTGATGATCTGCTAGAGAAGGTATTAACGGAATAGGACTATTTTCCTTGTAAACCGTGTTCGTGGTCATAAGTTATTTACTTTGGCACTTCATTCACTAGAATTTAACAGCCACACCCTGTGTTCATGCTTGTGTTGCTGGCTATAACATCGTGATTAACACTTACAAGAGCGTATATTGTTCCTTTAATTCTGTTACCTTATTATGTAGATGAAGGTATGACACACACATTGGCCATCCCCATCATGTCTGAAGCTGTTTATATCTCAAAAACATTTCCACCTATTTGATAACTAAAGCTTTCAAAAGTAATGCTTCGTAAATCTCCCACTAGACACACAAAGCTCGCCTAAAGATACAGAAAACATGATAGTTAATGTTTAGTAAGGCTAATAAACATAATAAGTTAATGAGGGCATATGCCACCTTTGCATTCGTTGTGGAAATGTAAGCTCCAATTATGTTCATTTGGCTTGCAGGTGGCACTGATGCTATAGCTGTGAAATAACCTATTATTTGATAATACCTCAGGAAAAATCTTTTAGAATCCATCCTGATTAAGCATCAGACTTCAAAAGCACTGGTTAAGTGCACATTAAAGAATATGTTCGAGAGGTGTTTTCCTGTACCCAAAGTTCCCAAACCATTTACCAAAATAGTTTGATTAATTGGAAATGAAATTATTAAGAGTTACATGTATTACAGAATTCTTTTGCAAGATGGCATTTGGTCACTGGATGATTTTTGCGACTTACTTGGGCAAATGAAACTACTCTTGCCTTTGTCACTAGCGATACTTTCTGCTCTGATGTGCCTTAGTGTAGACACAGACAGACCAGTGGCAATGCTAGCTATTGACTATGCTTGAGATTTATTTGTACATTCTTTCTTCTTGTAATTTATGACATTATAGGCCAATTCTTGAACTTGAGAATGAATGATTTGACCAAGCTTTCCTATCATTGATATGTTTATTTGTTTGTAATTCTTCTAGCAAATGAAATTTAGAGAATTCTGGTATCGACTTGTCACACCGACCTCTTAATAGTCTTATGAGCAACACATGTGTCCATGTGGGTGTAATCAATTTCATCGTCATGACCAGCGCATGCACAACATCTGACACCCTCTCTACCTGTAACAAACCAAATTTATATGTTTGCCCACATTCTGTGCACCATACCCATGCTCATGTGTATCATCAAAGTTGTCAATGTCTAAGACCTGCATCACTTGAAGCTTTCCTCCCACATTAAGCTGTCACTCCGTGATATCGTTGGAATACTGTTCAAAGCACTCAGTCAGTTGCATATTGAGATGTTATCATGGTTATTACAGAAATCAACAATCCCCCTGTAGCATTTTGGTTTGACCACAACCTGTGAGATGATCATCATTGGCGAACAGAGTTCAGAGACTGATGGTGATTACAAGATTTCGTTTTTCTGTAGGTACATCATCTTCCAGAGGCAAGAGAGTTAACTGACTTTAACAGTCCATTTTCCACCCTTGCCGACCTAGGCTGGAATTTCTGGGCTTGATCATAGAGTCACCAGTGGCTATTACGAGTTATGTCCCTTCTGTCCCAGTTAAGACGATCTGATCGATAATTAAGATCTATATTGTGATAAAACGAGTCTTACATCGCGATGTGCATCAAATCATGTGAGCACCTTGATTAAGAAACTATCTGTTGACAACAAGTTGGCAGTGCACATGCTTTGCAAATTCTGCAATCGACCGAAATCTGCGTGACAGTTTACCATTCGGACGAACGATTTTTATTGGACTATGCATAGACTCTTTCGTCCACCAAAATTTAACTCCTTAATACCAGCCTTGTTCGGCAGGGTGGAAACTTGACTTTTATAGTCAGTTAACTCACTTGCCTCTGGAAGATGTAGGTACATATATATAATGATTTAATCTGTGATATTATATGAAATCTTCTTTACTTCATATTTCAGGAACAGTTTGAGAACCTGTTTTGTGAATTTGATCCAAGTGTGACTTTTCAATACCTCAAGAGCTTCCGCAGAGTTCGCATTAACTTTATCAGTCCCGAGCTGGCAGCAAAAGCACGAATACACCTGCATCAAGCTGAATTTCTTGGCACCATCATCAAGTGTTACTTTGCTCAGGTAAATTTGCAACAAAAAAGACAATACTAAATAACCATTTGTTAATTCAGTGTATATTCACTGTATACCTTGAAAATTTAATGGCCAAATTAGAGACACAAATATACACAATTAGTGTGCCTAGAAAATGATGGATGGTATAACTCTGATATATTTGTTGAAATACTGTGAACATCAGTCTCTCCATTACAAATATTTTAAATTCTGAGGGTCAGATCAACTACAGTCATACATGTTTGAAATGCCTAAAAAATAATAATACATGCTTGAAACTATGTTTACACATTTCTTTGCTAAGTTTACAACTGAAAAAAACTAGTTTGCCATTTCAATATGAGATTTAAGTGAAAACTGTCGACTGTAAATAAAAAAACCAGACAAGTTACTTCTTTTCATTTCTTTTGAAATATATTTTGTTAGAAATATTTAAACATTATAAATACACTTGGAAACAAAGTCAAGGAGTGTATATTATGTACCTGACTATTGAATGCTTTCTACATTAGAAAGTTCTGACCAGCAAAAATATTGTTGAAATAAGTATGATTACAATATAACTTGGCATATATGCAAGGGAACATTATAACATAAGCACACATGTACTGATGTTTACTGTCTTATCTTTATGCTGTTTTAGTCATACTGTCTTAGTTGTACCACACTGGAGACAATGATTTCTTGACAGTGGCTTATATGTATTGTAATATAACAACTGATTTGACAGTTTTTTGCACATGCGTACTAAAGGATTTGGACATCAAAGCACACAATACTCTTTTTTTTGGAAAGTGGCAAGTTATCATTTAAAATTAGACTACGTTCTAAAGATGTTTGTGAAATGTTTTAAGTTCAGCAATTGTGCTTTGGAATCATGACTGGTGAAAAAGTTGCTAGGAATGGTTTTCTAAATTCTAGTTGGAACAGTTGCTCATATTGTTGCTTGATGCATTTGTTGTAGGCCAAACAGACGACTTGTGATGATTCCCCACACCTGAAGCCCCCACCCATGGAGAAGCAGTTCCTCATCTCGCCCCCTGCATCCCCCCCAGTGGGGTGGGAACAAGTACAGGAGTCTCACCCTGTCATCAACTATGATCTCCTGGCAGCCATTGCACAGCTAGCTCCTGGTCAGTCTTCCTGGTACTCCTACATTAAACTGATGTACTGTAGCAGATCATCACTTCTATCTTTCATCTTGGGTCATTTCAAAAGAATAAATACAACAGCACAGGTACATCAATGTGATCTGGTACTAAGCAGGTCGAAAGCTGAATTGTAAATGAGAATCTAATAATTAAGCATGTCTATCATGTGAAAGATTTTATCTAAATTTAACCATCGTCACTGCAGCACTTTGTTTTTGAATCAGTTGTGTCAAAGGTCAAGGTCTTCCTCAAGGTCATAGCCTGAAGAAAAGTTAGTTTTAATGATGACTTGAGAAGCATTTACAAAATATGTCAATGAAATTTGGTATGTGACAACCTTGGGACAGAGAAGCTGTATGAAAAAGTTTGTGTGATCTCTGTATAATTAGGCCAGTAATAATATTGAAACACCTAGACATTTTTGATAACATACAAATTTTATATTAAAATGAATCATCTACATATTCTGTCACACCATACCAAACCCAACCAAAATCAACCTCTGGCAAATATATTTTTAACCATTTTATTTATCGGGACGAATATGGTAGAAAAAGGGGAAAATGGTTTCTTCATGGAGGCTTTAATCAGGATGTCTTTAAACACATAATGGTGATTATTTGCCATATTTGGTGAACAAATACAGATTATGATGATAGAAAATTGAATTGGGATTAATTATTAAGAAAATTAACAATAAACGAGGTGATGTGTGGCAAGGCCATACTTGAGTTGTCTCCCTTTAAACATACTTGCATCAACTGTCAAAATGTTGGTATTCTTCATTCCTACTTGAATGTTTGCAGCAACTTAATAATTTTAGTAAATAATTAGAAGCAGCAAAAGGTCCATTCCAAATTAAGTCAAGGTGACATATCCATTGTCAGACAGACATGCTCCCATAATCATAAAAATGTCAAGTTTTTTTTTATCAGTTTTTGACGATCAAAATGAACTTGTGTAGAGTAGTTGGTAACAACTTGATAGCTCTTCAAACAGTTTCACAATCTGTGCATGTATATATGCTGTTCACACTTCCTGTTGTAGCAGATGGACCTGTTAATCAATTATAGACTATCATCAACAAGAATTCCGTTTTCACACGCACTTTCACATTTGCAATGGATGCTAAACGGAATTCTCATTTTGAAGCAGCTGCAAGAAGTACATAGTCTTTTGGAGCTCTTGCATGAACATCTAATCTCCTTCAGTAGGTCTGGTGGAGCAGGGTCTTTATCAGTGATCACTGGGAGTAAATGTCCATGAGTGTTTCTGAACCCAAACCTTTCCTTGTCATGTAACGTTTCAAGATGACGACCATGTGTGGACCTGCAGACGAACTCGCAGGGAATGGAAGTAGCAAGCTCTTGATGTTGGCGGCATGCGTTCAACAGGAATTTATCATCCAAAACTGGCTTCCACAGGAGATATTGCTTGGATTAGATCAAGCGATATCTACACTGTAGATATCGCTGCAGTGAAATTACATCACAATGCTTTGCAGACCATTGTGACGTCACCAGTTACCATGACGTCACAATCAAATGACATCACTAATGGCTCTGCTACTGAAGCTGTTAGCAGTACTTTTTACACTGAAAACACTGCTAATTACTGTCTACAAATTGAAAAAGTTTGAAGAATGATGTTGGATGATAAATAAAATCTCTCCCTCGTGTCTTTTGATATCAAATATATCAACACTCGTTGATAAAAGTGGCAAAAATCCTCGGCAAGCCTCGGAATTTTTCCACTTTTATCAACTCGTGTTGATATATTTGATATCAAAAGACACTCAGGTGAGATTCTCTATATATCTAGTAGATATGATGTTCAGGTATTGCAGGTCATCTAAAGATCTTCCATACTTTCCACCAATGTATAGTCCAGAAACATACCTCTCTCCTGCTTTCTTCACATCATCCAATGGCTCATCATCCTCACCTAACACTTTGACTGCTGTTTGAAGTTCAGGTGATGAAGAAAGGTACTTCATATGCTTCACTTTACCAAAGCCAAATACAGAAGATGTAGTGTCACATCCAGAAACAGCATGCAAAAAGGGCAACAATTGGTACTGATGATAACCAATTGAACGCTGTGCTTCTTGTATTGATATTGTTTGTGTTTTTGTCTTCATATATACATCAGATTTGGGATCGACATGGTGCATCAGCAAGACAAGAACATCTGTATCATCTGAAACAACATGTACTGTGTTGTGTGTGTCAGATAACTTGACTGCCTCTCTAACAATGACAACGTCAGCATCCCCTTCACTTCCTGCATGTTGTACAGAGATATCAGAATCCTTAAGATATTCAGATAATAGATTGATAGTATTCTGTTTGTTTGTTTGGCAAGAAAACTGCTTTGGTCAGAGGGTACAGGGGTTTCGGGGTTTACTACCACATCAGCATCTGTGTCCTTCATTAGTCTGCGACGCTTCTGCTCTTGTTCTTTTTTTGTCTGAACTTCATAACTGTCAAACACTACCAGAAGAGGAAATCAATCTGTTGTTTTGTGTGCTAATGTGTTGGTATAAGCACGACACACATTGTGAAGGGTGCCTATTTTGGGCCATTTCATTTGTTGAAGCACAGCACATCCGTCAACAACTGTAATTCCAGGGATGATGTCACTAGTAACGACAATGTTCGGATTCAACTTTATGATGTGTTGGGAAAGTTGAGACTTTTGGGATTTTCGCATAGTGCCATCTTCATAGAAGAGAGCTGGTGAAACAGCTGCAAGTTCAAAGCTGAACACAGATGAAGGTGGAGGTCCTGAAACATAGGCAATCGACAACAGACGTTGGTACATCTCAGCAGAAGACATATGAATTTTTTCACCGTCTTTTAAATTCACTGCCTTTTTCATCACAGCAAATGTAACAGTTGGTTGCTTTTTTTTAATATGACATCTCCAAACTTCTTCTCATTGATGCTGTCTTGAATGGAGTTACCAATTCTGACCAGCTTGTCAACGTTGACTCGATCATCAGCAATCAGGCCTGTGGCAATGTTTCTCAGCTGGGAATTTTCTCCACCTTGAAATGGGTTATGGGTCCTGAGATAGCCTAGGATAATCTGCATATCCCTGAAGTCTTGACTGATTCGTCCTACATTCATTTCACGATGCTGATCTGACCATGAGCTGTTGGTTGTTTTCGTCAAGGATCTCAAAGAGTCAGTATACTGAGCAGTGACATGTGCTGACAACAGCCACTTTGTTCTTGCACCTTCCCTGTGAGTGATATTGATAAGTCCACCTTGAGTCTTTCCAGCCCTCATCAGTGACTGTTCTATGGTCATATCACTCCACGTGCCACTCCAGAACAGGTTGCTGTTACGACGGACTGTGAAGAGGCCATTTTTAAGGGGACTTTCAAGGCATGGACATGGACTTTTGAAATCCTGTAAATACAGCCTGCAATACTTGGCATAGTTGTTATGTCCTGTAGCAGCAAACCAGGGTAGCATATCTTGTGATGCTTTTAGATGAAGCTGCCAGTTCCCTGTGCGCTCAGCTCTGATGAACATACAGACAACAGACACAAAGTCCAGAAAATTCAGCCACAAATTTGCAGTCGTTGATTCTTGTAGTTTCTACTTTGTACTTTGTAATCTTGTTGATACTTCTGTCATGATGTTGTTGTTCATCACATGGGTGATAGACTGATTATGTTCCATAAGCTGCTTATTCAAGAGTTCCAACTCTGTAAAAATCTGATCAACATCTGGACTTCTTGAAATGAAATTCTGCAGTGTTTCATTCTGACTGACTGAACTATCATTGTTGTCTTCCATTTCAGCTGAATTATCGTCTTCAGCAATATCTCCTTCAGGCATCAAAAGAAGTATGTGCAAAGCAGCACAGGTGAGAAGACATGCTCTAAGTGTCTTTGTATAAGCCTTTCCTTCCACCATTTTGGGAATGGAATTTCGGGAATATACAGTAGCCCAAGCTTCATTAGGTCCACAGCCTTCCATAGCTTTACAACCTGCCCCAAGAAAAGACATCAGCTGATGAAAACCTCCAAGACGAAGTTGAACATGTTGAAATTCAACAGGATTGTCAGCTATAATTTTATATGCCTTCGCATAGAGTGCTTGGTCAAAGGTGAGCATTGCACAACATTGTCTAGCTTTTTGTCTTTGCTTATCAATGAAAACCAGTGTGCTATGTACAGCCTCATTCGTTTGAGGGTTAAGAGGTATCATTGGATGGTACACAATTGAGGAGCACAAACATTCACCTTCTGTAATTTCTGCCATGAAGCCTTGCCAACTCAGTGATACTTGGAAACGGGCATTTGACAGCATCCATAAGGTGTCTAGCTTCAGATACTCTTCCAAAGAACCAACTTCGACTGGTTCGAGCTGCTGGAACACTATCTTGGACATGAGATTTTTGTTGGATTGCCTATACGGTTGTATTATATGACCAAAGTCACCAGAAGATGCAATATCAGCAGATGTTTTCTTCTTACGCTGAACAGTAATTGTTTGCTTGGAAGCTGGGGTTTGGCAAGCAATAATACCCATGACATGTGTTGAATTGTGTCCAGTAACAGTGTCCTCATTGTAGTCAAAGTTGTCAGCCACCCACTGACAAAAACCACCACCTTGGTCCTGTGCCTCGATTCCAGGTGGAAGATCTTCAACAGACTCGCTTACTACAGCTGATTTCTCAAAATCCATTACTTGATCATAAGACACAGAGAAGCCAAGACTAGACAAAACATTCAGCAGCACTCTGGATCTTGTTGTTTGGTGGATGAAAAGGCCAGTGGAGAGCATCAAAGGTGATAGATAAGGATTTGGAGCTGAAGCTTGCATCAATGCATGACAAAGAGAAACAACTTCAAGTCGTTGTTTTTCAAAGGCAGTTTCTGTGGTTGCTTTTCTCATTAGACTTCTCACAAATACAAGGAGGACATCAGGAACCTCATTCTCAAGTTTGTCAATGTCAATGTCTTG